TGACCAGGGCTGTGCAATACACGTCCTTATGGCAAGTAAGGAGAAACTTACTGAGTCAGGTGTTTTAAGTATTAGTTACACAGGTCAACTCACAAATCTTCCCCTATCTCTTTGAAACAGTCCCTCAGAGCTACCTAAAAGATGCCTCCCAGGCTTAAGTTCTCAGTATACTGCTGCTGCTGCTGCTAAGTCACTTCAGTCGTGTCCAGCTCTGTGCGACCCCACAGACGGCAGCCCACCAGGCTCCCCCATCCCTGGGATTCTCCAGGCAAGAACACTGGAGTGGGTTGCCATTTCCTTCTCCAATGCATGAAAGTGAAAAGTGAAAGTGAAGTCGCTCAGTCGTGTCCGACTCTTCGCGAACCCATGGACTGCAGCCCACCAGGCTCCTCTGTCCATGGGATTCTCCAGGCAAGAGTACTGGAGTGGGCTGCCATCACCTTCTCCGTCTCACTATACTAGCTAGTGGTAAAGAATCCACCTGCCAATACAGGAGATGCAAGAGATGTGGGTTCAACCCCTAAGGTCAGGAAAATCTCCTGGAGAAGGAAATGGCAACCTACTCCAGTATTTTTGTCTAGAAAATTCCACAGACAGAGGAGCCTGGTGGGTTACAGTCCACAGGTTCGCAAAGAGGAGGACACAACTGAGCAACAGAGCACACACATACATATTTCTGCCCAATAAAACATAATTCGCAACTTTTGGGTTCTGCTGCTTCTTTTTTTCAGTAAATACAGAAGCCATGCTTATACAAGCTTCTCCTAGCCAACAATTAAGCATGCCAGGGATACCAAGGCAGGCTTATCTCCAGAGAGTTACAGGACTCTTCTGGTGGAAGATTTTGATTCTAGGACACCATCCCCACCACTCAACGCTGCGTTGGCCTAGTCAAAACTTTCTTGGCACTTTGCTGCAGTCTTCCTATCCCATCCTTTTTTCTTCTCTCTTTTTTTCCACAGGTCTCAAGGTTTGAAAGTTCTCTCTGATTTCTCTTGCCACCTCCTCAACAAATATCTCACATACCAAATCCCACCTTGGCATCTGCTTCTCAGAAGACCCAAACTAACTCATTAACCAATAACTTGCAAACAATTCTACTCATTGGTAGATACCCTATGGAAAGTTGAACAGGCACACCAGGATACTGTACAAAAATTCATGAGTGCAGACATTCCAAATGGAATAAACTGATGTTCTGACCTCATTTATTGTGCTTTTCCTGTCTCACCTATGAAACAATCTAACAACTTAGTACAAAAGAAATAAGGAGGAAAATTCCAGTTCTCTAGCCTTTTCTGCTAAAGTAATAAAGGTTAGGCTGTCACTAAAATATCAGTAGTAGAACAAAAGAATGATAAATGATTGTTATTGTGGAGTTGTTCTCTTTAGAGGATGGTGGTCTGAAAGTTTTTCCAATTTCCCTGCAGAAATGATTTTAAGAAAAAGTTAACAATGGAAAATGTCTTTTTTTCCTCATTTTTTAATGACCAAAAGAGGAGTTCTACCTGAGATAAAGAACGTTTTGGGAGGAAATGCCAAAAACCTGGCAACAAACTCAAATGTCCACTAAGATCGGAATGGAGAGACTTCCCTGGTGTCCAATGTTAAGACTCTGTGTTTCCACTGCAGGAGGCACATGTTTGATCCCTGGTCTGGTAACTAAGATTCCACATGTCGCATGGCTCAGTCAAAAAGGAAAAAAAGATAAAAATGGATAATATAGTACAACCACACAATATAATTAGAGTCCACACTCCCTTAGCTGCAGTTCTAAAATTCAACTGTATCACTTTGCTGTACTGCAGAAATTAACACATTATAAATCAGCTGTAGTTCATTAAAAAAAAAAAAAGATGACCTGTAGCTACAAGCACTAATAGAAATGAGAAAGTACTAATATAAACAGTTCAGAAAGAAAGAAGTGAAAGAAGCAAGATGATTCCAGTCATGTGAAAGACAAAAATAGGGAAACAATACACAAGTTATGCGTGTGTGCAGAGTTGCTGCCATATGTGTGCGTGTTTGTGTGTGTACACTCAGTAGTGTCTGACTCTTTGCCATCCCCTGGACTGTAGCCCACCAAGCTCCTCTGTCCATGGAATTTTCCAGTCCAGGACACTGGAGCAGGTTGCCACTTTTTACTCTAGCATAGCAAAACTATAAGAAAACTATTCCCGTATAGCTTATAAACTCTTCTTCATATATGTACTTCAAAATTTTATAAATGTAAAGAAAATCCTGTATATAGAAATGTCCCTTTTACTTAGCAGATTTTTACAAATAAGCTTTATCTCTACCCGTTGGAGTCACAGGGAACAACCTGTTCTATGTATTGAACTGTAGAAATTTGAAGACAATGATTGCATGGCCCACACTTCATCAAATCTCTTTAGTTTCATTTGTTACTATTTATTTTCTGGAACATGATAGGTGTTCTTTATAAGGATTTGAGTTAGAGCGTGTGGACTTCATGGTAGATTAGGGTTGGGGGTGATGGAGCTCTCTCCCTCCTATACCCAGGGGAAGGGCATCGGGTACAGTGCTATCAGGATTCCCAGGCCTGCTCAGTCTGACACTGCCAAGACTCAGGACTCCAGGGCCCCAAGGGGACAGCTGAGAGGCTGGACTTTTGCCCCATCTTGTCTCTAACTAAGAGATCAGGGAGTGAGTCCCAGGAGGTACTCCATATGAAAAGCCCACAGCTCCTTCTAGCCTCTGTACCTGAGGACAGACTGCTCCAGCCCTGGGTCTTTAGTCTGTGCTGCTGTTACAGGGAAGGAAGAAAACTGAGGTTCTAGCCAGTCCTCTTTAGGAGAAGACAGGTAGGCAAACCAAACAAGTGAGGCAGACCCAACACCTGGTGATGGTGACAAGATCGGAGGATGGTCAGAATTTCCAGGTAAGACCTGAGTGGTAGAGGTTGGAGACATTGGTCAACACACACACACACACACACACACACACACACATCTCCTCCCCTATTCCTTATTGCCCCTTCCTTACTCTCAGCCAAATACTTCCCTGGTGGTTCAGATGATAAAAAAAATCTGCCTGCAGTGTGGGAGACCTGGGTTCAACCCCTGGGTTGGGAAGATCCCCTGGAGAAGGGAACAGCTACCCACTCCAGTATTCTGGCCTGGAGAATTCCATGGGCAGAGGAGATGGCAGGATACAGTCCATAGGGTTGCAAAGAGTTGGACCCGATTGAGCGACTTTCCCTCAAATACAACCTGGCTCTCTTATCCATCATGAGGAGGGTCTTGATTTAATATTCATGATCCTCTAGAGAGTCTAGCCTGAAGTCAGTGTAGATTAGTGGTCCCCAAGCCCCTGGCAGAGGCCAAGACATTGTAGTTGTAGTAACAGTGCTCAGGTCCCCTACATGATGCCCGGACAATTCACTCACAGCTCACTCTGCCCTGAGTGACTTTCAGAATCCCCACACCCCCGATAGTTCAGGAAGCCTTAGTCTGTCTTCTTAACTTCAGTCCCAGAATGATGTGCAGTAGGCTTATTTAGGCTCATTTTACAACCGGGGTTCTTATAAGTTAAATGTTTTCCACCAAGATGGTACAGCTGGGACTCAAACCTGGGTCTGCACATGTCACAGTGGATGCTTTGTTATGGTACTCCTAGGTCAGACCATTGCCACCCAAGGTGATGATGACACTGTTGACAGTGGCATGTACAATTCCATATATGAAATTTTACAGGTTTCAAAGCCCAACTTCCCACAGACCATGACCAACTCCAACATGCCCAGGACTGAAGGAGTTTCCTGGAAGTGGGACGTGGGATGTTCCATTTTGAAAGCAGGAAAGCCCTGGACAAACATAGAGGACTAGTTGGTTGCCCCAGAAAGCATCCTCCTTTTGTTAACTCCATCAAGAGAAAACAATATCAGAGGAAGCTCTATTTGAGGATCATTTGATATGAACCATTGTTCTAGCTCAGTACAATCCTTATCTAATTCAGTCCTGACCACTGTACTGTTGGTCACCAGGTTCCATTTTATCTACTACTGATTCTAGGACTATTAGTAACTATTATCACAGTTTATTGAAGACCTATTCCATGCTACTGCTTTGAATATATCATCTTATTGATGAGCTACAGTAAGTACATGAAGTATGCACATAATTTACAGATGAGGAAACTGAAGCAAAAAGAAAATAGGATGTGGAGTTTGCAAAGGATTACACAGCCAGAAAATAAGTCCATCCAGTCTGTAGGACATCAAAGCCAACATTCCTAAGGACTGAAGGTGTTGACAATGCTGACAATGATAACTCTTGTTTGTCAAATATCTTTGAGCTTATAAAGTAATTTCATCCACATTAGCTTATTTGATGGATCTTCAAAAGAAAAAGAGGATATTCCCATCATATGAAGAATATCTGAGGGACAGTTATGATCTTTCTATATAATTAGTACCCCTTCTCTACTCCTCAACAAAGCACACATATGAGACAAAGACAGAGAGAGAGAGAGAGAGGACTATCCTTAAGAATTTTCTAGTAAATGCATAGCCCCATGATATCTTTTTTTTCCATTTATTTTTATTAACTGGAGGCTAATTACTTTACAATATTGTAGTGGTTTTTGCCATGCATTGACATGAATCAGCCATGGATTTACATGTGTTCCCCCGTCGTGATATCTTACTCAAACTTCACAAGCCTGTGAAACTGATAGCTTTCCTATTTGAAAAAATAGGCATGAACTAAGACTTGGGAATTTTCTTCCCAGCTAATCTCCAGTTCAACCCTCAACCAGAAAGTCTACAGGATGACCAAGAATCCAACTAAAATGAAGAGTTTCCCAACAAGTCTCCCAATCACTGTGCTTAGCTCTCACATATGTACATGTTTACATGCCCACCAGCAAGAGACACTTATACATCTCTGTGACCTTTGAAAAAAACACAGGAAACAGACAAAGGCTTTGAACGATATAAGTTTTTGAAGCAATATTTTCCTTGCATTTGTCTCCTTCAAATGAGCATTACAAATGAAACCAGTATCTCTGACTTCCTGCTCCTCGGCTTCTCTCAACACACAAAGCATCAGCCTCTCCTGTTTGGGCTCTTCCTGGCCATGTACCTGGTCACCATTCTGGGGAACCTGCTCATCATCCTGGCCATCAGCTCTGATACCCACCTCCACACCCCCATGTACTTCCTCCTGGCCAACCTGTCCTTCACCGACACCTGCTTCTCCTGCACCATCGTCCCCAAGGTGCTGCTCAACATCCACACACAGCACTACACCATCTCCCACACTGGGTGCCTCGTGCAGATGTTCTTCTTCATGGAACTGACTCTGCTGGATGACTTCCTGCTGGCTGTGATGGCCTATGACCGCTATGTGGCCATCTGCCTTCCTCTCCACTACACCACCATCATGGGGCCCCAGCGCTGCCTGCTGCTGGTCACCGCATCCTGGCTCAGCTCCTACCTCCTGGCCTTCTCCCTCTGTCTCCTCATGTCTCATTTCTCCTTCTGCGCCTCCCATGCCATCCCACACTTCTTCTGTGACCTTCTCCCTCTCCTCAAACTTGCCTGCTCAGACACTCGCATCTTTCAGCTCACCATGCTAACAGAAGCAGCCCCCTCAGGACTGATCCCTCTCACCTGTGTCCTAGTCTCATATGCCCACATCATCCACACCATCCTCAGGATCCCATCTCCTGGGGGGAAGCACAAAGTCTTCTCTACCTGCGGCTCTCACCTGACAGTGGTCACTCTCTTCTACGGGACACTCTTTCTGGTGTATTTCCAGCCCTCATCCTCCTACTCAGCAGACACTGGGATGGCAGCATCTGTGGTGTACACGATGGTCACCCCCATGCTGAACCCCTTTATCTACAGCCTGAGGAACAGACACATGAAGGGAGCTTTGTGCAGATTCTTCAGCTGGGGAAAACATTCTACTCTGTAAAATGTCCTGAACCAGATTAGGAGCTCAGGTTCTGTGACATGCCTTCTTTGTGGGTGTCTTTGTTGTCATTTTGAAAAACTCAGATTCAATTAGGCTGATGCTCAGCATCATAAGCAGGTTTTAAAGATGGAGAATGCCTGACTTGCAGGACTGGAATATGATCAGCTGGCCAAGGACAGAGATAAAGCCTGGAAGAGGAGTGACCAGAAATCCCTGCAAGGTGACTTGATTACTGGATATAGGTGACCAAGCAGATTCAAACCAGACAGTGGGAATCATCAAAGGATGGTATCAGACAAAATACAGGTTCTTGGAGGACGCCCAAGTACCAATTAAGTCTATAGTTAACCTGTGCATTCAGCTATAAGAAATACTGACAATATCTGGAAGGTTCAAGTGCCTGAGCTTCAGAGACCACTACCACGCCCATATTTGGAAAAAAAGGGATTCGACCACACAGGGAGAAAACTGAACCAGAAGACATACTCTTTGCTGGGAATAAGTGAGGAAGACTAATTCTAGAAGAGGAAACCTGGAACACGTAGATGGTGGTGGCTGGTCCAAAATCATATACTTGGGATTAGAACTAAGTCTGTGACAGTGAGTGACTATGAGTTATTGGACAGATTCATGATTTTCCTCTGATACTCTGACTTATTTTGCTTTTCTGTACTTCAGAAAAAAAATATTATAGCAAATTTGTAAGACATACAAATAGAAAAAAGAAGAAACATTCACTATCCTTTTGTCTTTTACTTTGATGAGAAAATATTGGACATACAATTATATAACTTTTTGCTTAACTTTACAACACAAGTTGTTTCCACATTATTGTTGCTGTTGTTCAGTCACTAAGTCATGTCCTACTCTTTATGACCCCATGGACTGCAGCACACCAGGCTTCTCTGTCCATCACTTATCTCTCTGAGTTTGCTGAAACTCATGTTCATTGAGTCGGTGATGCCATCCAACCATCTCATCCTTTGTTGTCCCCTTCTCCTCCTGCCCTCAATCTTTCCAAGCATCAGGGTCTTTTCTAATTAGTCAGTTATTCGCATCAGGTGGCCAAAGTATTGGAGTTTCAGCTTCAACATCAGTCCTTCCAATGAACATTCAGGGCTGAATTCCTTTAGGATGGACTGGTTGGATCTCCAACAGGTTGCAGTTGGTTGCAGTCCAAGTGACTTTTGAGAGTCTTTTCCGACACCACAGTTCCAAAGCATCAATTCTTCAGTGCTCAGCTTTCTTTATGGTCCAACTCTCACATCCATACATGACCAGTGGAAAAACCATAGCTTTGACTAGATGGACCTTTGTTGGCAAAGTAATGTTTCTGCTTTTTAATATGCTGTCTAGGTTCATCATAGCTTTTCTTCCAAGGAGCAAGAATCTTTTAATTTCATGGCTGCAGTCACCGTCTGCAGTGATTTTGGAGACCAAGAAAAAAAAGCCTCTCACTGTTTCCATTGTTTCCCCATCTATTTCCCATGAAGTGATGGGACCCAATGCCATGATCTTAGTTTTCTGAATGTTGAGTTTTAAGCCAACTTTTTCCCTCTCCTCTTTCACTTTCATCAAGAGGCTCTTTAGTTCTTCTTCACTTTCTGCCATAAGGGTGGTGTCATCTGCATATCTGAGGTTACTGATATTTCTCCCAGCAATCTTGATTCCAGCTTTTGCTTCATCCAGCCTGGCATTTCGCATGATACACTCTGCATATAAGTTAAATAAGCAAGGTGACAGTATATATCATTTGTCTCTGTCCTCTCCATATCTTATTGTTCACATTTTCTCATGAATGTAACTAATATGATAGCCAAAGTGGTATATCATTAATTTTGTTTCAATATATTTGATTATTGATGAGGGAACTATTTTTTCTTGAGTCCCTTAACCAATTTTTTTAAAATTCTCTTATCATTTATTTGTGTCATCTGCCTATTATTTTTGAGAATTTTTTATTGGCTTTTCTGGACCTGTCTATATTAAAGATATTATATCTTTGTCTTCTTTGTCTTGGTAATGTTCCTAGTTAATTCTTTATCTCTTAACCATGAGACTTATTTACTACAAGCAAGTTTTTTTTTACATTGTCAAGACATCTTAATTGTAACTCCTTTTACTAGAGTTTTATTTTAAACTATTTTCCTTTACAGAATACATGCAAATATTCAACTTTTTCATTTTCTTGTAGAATAAAGTATTTTTAATATCAGACACACAGTAGTTTAGAATGAAATCATATTGTTAAAGTGGTTCTCTCTAACAAAGAATGGCATTACCTCTGATGTTAAAATAAGGAAGATATTATGAACAATGTTATAGAACATATTTTAAGTTTAGGTTAAATAGAAAATTTCTGTAAAATATATAACTCATCAAAACAAATCTAGTAAGAAATAGAAAACCTGAATATAGGTTAGACCTATAGCATTACTTTAGACCTATAGGCATTAGGGAAATTGAATCAATAGCCAAAAACTTTTCCTGAAAGAAAAATTCAGGCCCAGATACTTGTAATAGTTTTATGAATAATTCAAGAGAAAAAATAATGCCTGATTTGCTAAATTCTTTCAGATAATAGAAAATAAGGGAATAATTCCCTTTTGGAGATACCCTGATACTAAAGTTAATGAGAACACTGCAAAAAAAGTACAATAACAGGCTGATCTCATTCATGAAATAAATATACCAATTCAAAGCAAATTATTAGTAAGCAGATAATTAAACAATGCAGAGAAACTGTGAGGTTATCATTTTCAAGGAGTTTTCCCAGGAATACATAGTTGATTTAACATTCAAAAATCAATCAAAGTCACTCTTTTATAAAACAAAGAACAAAAATCATATGAGGCAAGAATATCACCTCAATAGATGAAAAGAAAATAATTTTGTATAACTCAACATATGTTAATTAAAATGTGCTATTACAAATAGACATAGAAGCAAAATTTCCTAATCTGAAAAATGAGTTCTTTTTCAAATTACAGCAGATGTAATATGTTACATTTCTATAAAATATATAACTATAAAATATGTAATAATAATTACACATTTAATTCCTTCTCATAAATGAGCAACAAGACAAAATATCAGCTCTCACCACAACTATCCCACATTGCACATGATGTCACATCCAGTGAAATAGGATAAAAAAATAAATAAAAGATACAAATTCTCTAAGGAAAGAAACAAAAGTGCATTTTACTCACATGTGACAGTTTCATATTATTACAATTCAAACCTGTCTATATAGGAACCATTCAAATTATTAGGTGTTTTGAACAAAAACAAACTATAAATAGAACCTCCACTCTCACTTCACAACATACACAAAAATCAATTCTACAGTAACTACAGCACTAATTGTGAAAAGCAAAATTGCAAAGGTTTTAAAAGCAAATGCTGAAATATACCTTCCTGAGCAAAGGGAAGGATGGACTTCATACACCAGACACAAGTGAAGCATTAAAATGAAAGGAAAGTATTAATGAATTCAATTCATTGAAATTTAAAATATTTACTTAGCATACAAGATTGTAACAAGAGTGAAAGGACACACCCTAAAGACAGAGGAAATATTTGTAATACATATAATGCACAAGGGACTGGTATCTAGAATATTTAAATGGTTCTATAAATAAATTAGAATGAAACAGACAAATAAGTGGGAAAATGAACAAAAGTGTATGCAAGCACTTTCAAAATTAGAAATAAAAATGCTAATAAGTATTTTAAAGGTACCCAGCCTCATCATTTTTTTAAATTTATGCCTGTGCTGGTTCTTTGTTGCTTCATGGGCTTTTCTTAGTTGTGGCGAGCGGGGAATATTCTCTAGTGTGGGACACAGGCTCCTCATTGCGGTGGCTTCTCTTCTCACGGAGCACAGACTCTCGGGCACTCGGGCTTCAGTAGTTGCACCACATGGACTCAGTAGTTGTGGCTCCCGGCTCCAGAGCACAGGCTCAGTAGTTGTGGCTTAGTTGCTCCACACCATGTGGGATCTTCCTTGACCAGGGATCGAACCTATGTCTCTGGCATTGGCAAAAGGATTCTTTACCCCTGAGCCACCAGGGAAGCTCCCTAACCTCATTATTAATCACTGAAATATAAAATCAAACTGTCAGGAGATGCCCCACAATACACAAGCACCAAATGACTATAATGAAAAAGGCTAACACCACCAAGTGTTACCAAGAATGAGCTACCACCACAATCTCACCTATTGCCTGATGGAAGTGTAACTCTGTACAATCTCTTTGGAAGTCAACTTGCTATTGTATATTAAAATTGAAGATGTATATATCCTATAACCATGAAATTCCACTCCTAGGTATGCATGAAAGAGAAAGAAATGCATGCGTGCAGCAAGAAACATATACAGGAATGGTCCTCTCAGTATTTCTCTAAATAACATGAAACAACTTTCCTTTCAAGAATAGCTTGCATGATGAATGTGTGGTACCATCATATAATGTAGCAATGGAAGTGAACTAACAGCCAGTACCTAAAGCTGTCCAGATGACCTCACAAAAGGAAACTGAACAAAAGAACCAGAAAAGAGAATACATAATACATGAGGGCATTTATATAAAGTTCTAAACTAGGCAAAACTAAAATAAAACATTAGAAAGTTGGAAGGGATCACTTTGCTTTGAGACGGGAAGAGAAATGATGAGCAGGATACACAAAAGAAGTTTCCACCATGCTGGCAACATTCTACTTCTGAATTTGAGAAGTGATAAGTAGGTGACTGGGTTCTAATAATGTCTTAGGTAGTATGCTAAGAGAAATAAGACAGACAGAGAAAGATAAATGCTATAGGATATCACTTACATGTGGAATCTAAAAATTACAACAAACTAGGGGAGCGACTTAGCAGCAGCAGTAGCAGTGAATAATACAAAAATGCAGTAGACTCACAGATACAGAGGACAAACTAGTGGTTACCAGTGAGGAGGAGAGAGATGGGGAGTATAGAGAAGGGGGAATGAGAGGCAGGCAGAAAGTATTAGGTGTAAGATGGGCTCAAGGATGTACTGAACAACACAGAATATAACCAGTAGTTTATAATAACTGTAAATGGAAAGAAACCTTTAAAATTGTATAAAAAAATTTTACTTAAAGATCAAAATAATTTTTTCCAAAAAAATCCTATCTTGGAGCAACCACTCATCAATCAATTAATAAAGGATTGACTCATATACTATTTAAGTTAAGTGATGAGTGAATAGACATTAATTTTATTAACATTCTTAACAGAATATACGTGTTTTATACATTCCTTTATATGGAAGATACATTTAAATGAAAACAAATAAATATACGCAGGTATTGATTTCTGTTTAGAAATAAATGATTAGGCACCTTGGGCCCAGTAGAAAATCTAAATATTATTCATATCTTGGCTCTCTGAGATCATTAAATTAGGATGTTTCTTCTTCTACATGACTTTAAAGGCAAAGATGGTGACCCCTAATCTATTTCTGCCTTTATTTTTTCTTATTTTCTGGGACATATTGTACTACATCCATGGGGACAGGGGTCTAGTTAGAAAGTGTGGACTCCAGGACAGAGAAGCACAAGTTCAAGGTTAAGGTGGGAGGATGGATCCATGCTATACTTCAGCCAAGGAAGAAACCAAGGATGCTGCCACGGAGCACAGCCTGGTCCATCTGAATGGAATTATCACTGATACCGCCGGGGCACTGGGGGCCACGATCCAGAGGGGACAGTTGGCAGGTTGGACAGCTGCCCCATCGTGTCTCTAACTAGGAGGTCTGGGATCAGATCCCAGAAGACACTGCCTGTGAAAAGGCAGCTGCTCCCCCTGCCTCCTGTGCCTGAGAATCACTAATGACCTGAGCCTTCAGTCTGTGCTGTTCCTACTCAGAAGGAAGGGCTCTGTGTCTCCAGCCATAACTTCTTGGGGAGACAGCTGGGTAGCAAACCCAACCTCCGGCGTGAAATGGTCACAGATGGAGGCTGGTCAGCACTTCCAGGTGAGAACAGAGGCTTAGCGATCAGGAGAGGGAACACAGTCTACTGAAGGCCAACTGTGTGCACATTCATTCACAAACACACACACACAAACTCATATTCACACTTATACTCACACAACCCTTAGAGTCTCTCTTGTTTCCTCTTTGCCACTTTCTTCTACATCCTTATCTGCCAATCATTTTCTGGATCTTTGATGACCATGAGGGGCACCCAGTTCTGGGGTTCATCACATCCCTGAAGGCGCAGGCTGAAAGCACTGTGGAGAACGGGTCTCAGAGCACCCTTCCCCCAGCCCCATCAGTGACCATCACACAGCACCTGTGCAAGAACAGCGCACAATTCACCCTGGTCAGGCGGAACAGCCTGGCTCCTGGAATCACTCTCAGCCACTACACCAAGTCAGTGCCAGAAATGCACTCTCTGCTTCCTTTTACATTTATCAAACTCAGTCGCTTGCTTCTTTCTATTAAAATAATGCAAACTAAATTATTTTAGATAAAATCATTTATTCCCATTATGGGTGCTGTGTGCTCAGTCACTCAGCCATGCCTGACTCTTTGAGATCCCACAGATTACTGTCCACCAGGCTCCTCTGTCCATGGAAATATCCAGGCAAAAATACTGGCATGGGTAGCCATTTCCTTCTCCAGGGGATCTTCCTGACCCAGGGATTGAACCCATGTCTCCTGTGTCTCCTGCATTGACAGGCGAAGTTATTAAAGAACTCTTATGATTAAGTCATTTGATCCAGTTTCCACATGGTCTCCAGATGCCAAAACAAAAGCTTTGCCATTGACAGTTCTGAGTAGAATTAGAGGAGGTGCTGCTATGCTGATGATATTGGTGATGATGATGACTTTTTACTGACATTTCACTACCTACAACCTCAAGATGCAGGCAGTGACCTGGACTCAACAACACCTATGCAGCCTATTTCATTAAAAATAGCAAAAATAATAACAGATCATATTCATTGAGCACTTACTATGTGTCAGCTTTGATCTAAATAGTATATTTTTTGTCAAATTTAATACTTGTTACCATGCTCTGTGGGCTTCCCAGGTGTCACAGTTGTAAAAAATCAACCTGCCAATGCAGGAGACACAAGAGACCCAGATTCAATCCCTTGGTTGAGAGAAGGAAATGGCAACCCAATCAGTACTCTTTCCTGGAAAATTCTATGGATAGAGGAGTTTGGTGGACTATAGTCCTTGGGGTCAACAGAACCAGGCACAACTGAGTGATGGAGCATATACACTGCCACTCTATGTAGTAAACTCTATCATTATCCCATTTAAGCCAATGAGGAAACTGAAGCTGAAAAAGCTGATGACTTTCTTGAGATCTCATCAAGATTAAAGAGTGAGAAAATTCTGTCAGACTCCAGAGGTATATATTTATTCATTACCCTAAACAAACATGGCATGGACACCTGCTGCCACTGACTGACCTAGCATTCTTCCTCCACAACATCGTGGCTCATTCCAATATCACATCCTGACTGCACATCATGAATCCTGAAGAAACTGCAACCAACACAATTCAGATCCTTCAACCATCCTATCAGGTAGGTTATTATCTATATCTGATAGAAGCAAGGCAGAACTCAATGGGAATAAAAATTTCACAAAGATTAAAAGGCATGTGAGGAGCAGATCAGCACAGCATATCCTCTAGGGCTTTTACACCCCATCCTGTGTCCCAGGTTCACACTTCATCACCTGGTACTAAAAGGACAGTAACATCACTGTCCTTAGGAGCATCCTGCCCTGCACATACATTATCTCAGTTATAATTTCAGTGAGTCTGTTCTGAAGAATTGATGCTTTTGAACTGTGGTGTTGAAGAAGACTCTTGAGAGTCCCTTGGGCTGCAAGGAGATCCAACTAGTCCATCCTAAAGGAAATCAGTCCTGCATATTCATTGGAGGGACTGATGTTGAAGCTGACTCATTGGAAAAGACCCTGATGCTGGGAAAGATTGAGGGCAGGAGAAGAAGGGGACGACAGAGGATAAGATGGTTGGATGGCATCACCAACTCAATGGACATGGGTTTGGGTGGACTCTGGGAGTTAGTGATGGACAGGAGGCCTAGCACATTGCAGTTCATGGGGTTGCAAAGAATCGGACACAACTGAGTGACTGAACTGAAGTAGTTGCACGTAGTACAAAACAGGAGACAGAGATTCAGTGTAAAGTAATTAACCAAAGACAGACTGAGCATAGGGAACAGAGAAAACATTCCTATCCCACATCCAGATGTCAGAGCTCAGATGTTAAAACATAAGATGTTGATGAGCAGGTTGATGATGAGAATCAGTTCACTCAGTCATGTCCAACTCTTTATGACACCATGGACTGCATCACGCCAGGCTTCCCTGTCCATCACCAACTCCCAGAGCTTGCTCAAGCTCATGTCCACTGAGTCACTGATGCCATCCAACCATCTCATCCTCTGTCTTTCCCTTTCCTTCCTGCCTTCAGTCTTTCCCAGCCTCAGGGTCTTTTCATATGAGTCAGATCTTTGCACCAGGTGGCCAAATATTGGAGTTTCAGCATCAGTCCTTCCAATGAACACCCAGGACTGATCTCCTTTAGGGTGGAGTGGTTGGGTCTCCTTGCAGTCCAAGGGACTCTCAAGAGCCTTCTTCAACACCACAGTTCAAAAGCATCAACTGTTTGGCACTCAACTTTCTTTATAGTTCAACTCTCACGTCCATACATGACTACTGGAAAAACCATAGCTTTGACAATACGGACCTTTGTTGGCTAAGTAATGTCTCTGCTTTTTAATGCGTTGTCTAGGTTCATCATAGCTTTTCTTCCAAGGAGCAAGCATCTTTTAATTTCATGGGTGCAGTCACCATCTGTAGTGATTTTGGAGCCCCCCAAAATTGAAGTCTCTTATTATTTCCATTGTTTCCCCATCTATTTGCCATGAAGTAATGGGACCAGATCCCATGATCTTAGTTTTCTGAATGTTGAGTTTTAAGCCAACTTTTTCATTCTCCTCTTTCAATTTCATCAAGAGGATCTTTACTTCTTCTTCGCTTTCTGCTATAAGGGTAGTATCATCTGCATATCTGAGGTTATTGATATTTCTCCCAGAAATCTTGATCCCAGCTTGTGCTTCATCCAGGCTGGCATTTCACATGATGTACTCTGCATATAAGTTAAATAGGCAGGATGACAGTATACAGACTTGACACACTCCTTTTCCTATTTGGAACCAGTCTGTTGATCCATGTCTTGTTCTAACTGTTGCTTCTTGACCTGCATATAGATTTCTCAAGAGGCAGGTCAGGTGGTCTGGTTTTCCCATCTCTTGAAGAAGTTTCCACAGTTTGTTGTGATCCATTCAGTCAAAGGCTTTGGTGTAATCAATAAAGTAGAAGTAGATGTTTTTCTGGAACTCTCTTGCTTTTTTTGATGATCCAATGGATGTTGGCAATTTGATTTCTGGTTCCTCTGCCTTTTCTACATCTGGAAGTTCTCAGTTCATGTACTATTGAAGCCTGGCTTGGAGAATTTTGAGCATTACTTTGCTAGCATGTGAGATGAGTGCAATTGTGCAGTAGTTTAAACATTCTTTGACAATGCCTTTCTTTGGTATTGGAATGAAGACTGAGCTTTTCCCATCTTGTGGCCACTGCTGAGTTTTCAAAATTTGCTGGCATATTGAGTGCAGCACTTTCACAGCACCATCTTTTAGGATATGAAAGAGCTCAACTGGAATTCCATCACCTCCACTAGCTTTGTTTGTAGTGATACTTCCTAAGGCCCACTTGACTTCGCATTCCAGGATGTCTGGCTCTAGGTGAGTGATCACACCATTGTGATTATCTGAGCTGTGAAGATTTCTTTTTTTGTATAGTTCTGTGTATTCTTGCCACTTCTTAATATCTTCTGCTTTTGTCAGGTCCATACCATTTCTGTCCTTTATTGTGCCCATCTTTGCATGAAATGTTCCCTTGGTATCTCTAATTTTCTTGAAGANTTGCATGAAATGTTCCCTTGGTATCTCTAATTTTCTTGAAGAGATCTCTAGTCTTTCCCATTCTATTGTTTTCCTCTATTTCTTTGCATTAATCACTGAGAAAGGCTTTCTTATCTCTCCTTACTATTCTCTGGAACTCTGCATTCAAATGGGTATATCTTTCCTTTTCTCATTTGCCTTTCACTTCTCTTTTTTTCTCAGCTATTTGTAAGGCCTCTTCAGACAACCATTTTGCCTTTTTGCATTTCTTTTTCCTAGGGATGGTCTTGATCACTGCCTCCTGTATGGTGTCACCAACTTCCATCCATAGTTCTTCAAGCACTCTATCAAACCTAATCCCTTGAATCTATTTGTCACTTCCACTGTATAATCATAAGGGATTTTATTTCGATCATACCTGAATGGTTTAGTGGTTTTCCCTACTTTCTTCAGTTTAAGTCTGAATTTGGCAATAAGGGATTCATGATCTGAGCCACAGTCAGCTCCCAGTCTTATTTTTGCTGACTGTATAGAGCTTCTCCATCTTCAGCTGCAAAGAATATAATCAATCCGATTTCGATGTTGACCATCTGGTGATGCCTGTGTGTAGAATCGTCTCTCGTGTTGTTGGAAGAGGGTGTTTGCTATGACCAGTGCATTCTCTTGGCAAAACTCTGTTAGTCTTTGCCCTGCTTCATTTTGTATTCCAAGGCCACATTTGCCTGTTACTCCAGGTTATCTCTTGACTTCCTACGTTTGCATTCCAGTCCCCTATGATGAAAAGGACATCTTTTTTGGGTGTTAAGAATGATGTGCCCTTAATGAAAAGGTGCTTTTTAGTTCACAGGGTTCTCATAATGACACCAACTCACTGATAGGACAGGAAAGGGGGCCATAATACTCCCGGCACAGAGACCCCAATGTCTCATCTGGCTCCTCTCTGAAGAAATTAACCCTCCTTCCATCTCCCTCAGTATGTGCTCAACACTCAGACACAAACACACAGAGCTCCTTGTTTAGCCCACTAGTATATGCATGAATCCCAAATGAGCTCTACAATAAGACAGTGAAATTTAAATGGCTATTCTATAGTTTTCAAGGATTTATTTTGAAAAGATTCTTCCTGGTGAATCCCAGTTCAGTCTCATTCAGACCACCCATGGGGAAAACCTGCCACATTACAGGAGTGTAGAACCCAGACTACATCTCTACCCTGATGCCTCCTCATCAGATTCCACAGTCCTCCTATTTGTACATATTTGAAAACTACCATTTACACCTACTAGTGAATGCCAATCAGTTCCTCAAGAAATAGAGAAAACGGACCAAAGTTCATGGACTCTGTAACACTGAGAGCCTATCTTTGTTTAAATAAGATTCTGTTCCAATTTCTCTGTTTTTGAGGAAATTAGAAACCAAACCAGCATCTCTGACTTCCTGCTCCTGGGCTTCTCTCAGCACCCAGAGCAGCAGCCTCTCCTGTTCGGGCTCTTCCTGGCCATGTACCTGGTTACCGTGCTGGGGAACCTGCTCATCATCCTGGCCATCAGCTCTGACCCCCGCCTCCACACCCCCATGTACTTCTTCCTGGCCAATCTGTCCTTCACTGACAGCTGCTTCTCCTGCACCATCGTCCCCAAGGTGCTGCTCGACATCCACACACAGCACTACACCATCTCCTACACTGGGTGCCTCATACAGATGTTCTTCTTCATGGAACTGACTCTGCTGGATGACTTCCTGCTGGCTGTGATGGCCTATGACCGCTACGTGGCCATCTGCCTTCCCCTCCACTACACCACCATCATGGGGCCCCAGCGCTGCCTGCTGCTGGTCGCCACATCCTGGCTCAGCTCCCACCTCCTGGCCTTCTCCCTCTGCCTCCTCATGTCTCATTTCTCCTTCTGCGCCTCCCATGTCATCCCACATTTCTTCTGTGATGTACCCCCACTCCTGAAACTTGCCTGCTCAGACACTCGCATCTTTCAGGTCACCATGCTAACTGAAGCTGTTCCCTCGGGTCTGATTCCTCTCACCTGTGTCTTAGTGTCATATGCCCACATCATCCTCACCGTCCTCAGGATCCCATCTCCTGGGGGGAAGCACAAAGTCTTCTCCACCTGCGGCTCTCATCTAACAGTGGTCACTCTCTTCTACGGGACACTCTTTCTGGTGTATTTCCAGCCCTCATCCTCCTACTCAGCAGACACTGGGATGGCAGCATCTGTGGTGTACACGATGGTCACCCCCATGCTGAACCCCTTTATCTACAGCCTGAGGAACAGACACATGAAGGAGGCTTTGTGCAGATTCTTCTGTTGAGGAAAATG